GGGGGGGGGGGGGAATTAGGGTTATCTTGAATTTGAATGAGATTTGAGATCTAGGGTTGGGGTGCTTGGGCTCTTGGCTTTGCAAGAGATTAGGAGAATTGTTCTTCCTCTCGAATTGAAGAACATTGTATCTTTGCTTTGTTTCAATCATCTACTAGTGGAATACAATTTGTTTGCTTGATTTTCTCTCCAATTTCCTCTATTTTTTCCCTGTTTTGGGCTGTTCCTGTACCGAAAACAGCAGCAAATCTGCTGTTGGCTCTTCTTTTGGGAGATAGGTTTGCTTGCGAACTCAAGTATTACCTTAGGGTTACTTGCGAACTCAAGTATTTCCTATCAAATAAATGCTTGTTGTTGTTGTTAAATGTGTTGTCATAAATGAACTTTAATAAGTACATTCTTCATCATTAGATGCCTTTCAAATCTTTTGAATTAGTATAATTTTCTTGTATCTCTAAATAAAATGAGAACATGTATCTTTGAGGTTTTTAAATAAGTGAAAATGTTATACTTTCAGAGGCTTATGCATTATAGTATTTATATGTTTTTAAATAAGTGAAAATGTTATACTTTCAGTGGCTTATGCATTATGGTATTTAGATGGGTGGAGATAATGTCTACTACTTGCTTTTATGAAGAGTTTCTAGTGAAAACAGTATACAACACCAGCTACCATTCGAGGCTTCTTTATAAGCGTGCCTTCTAACGATTTTAATTGGAGACTCTCTATATCACTAGTTATCATGAGAACTTTCTTGTGATAACCCTATCCAATACTGGGTTCTCTTTGAGACTTTCTCACTAGCATGACTTCTAGGTTTTCTTGTAATTTACCCAAGCTATCTAAACTATCAACTTCTTCAAGCATTGATGACTAATTTTAGCATTCCCTAAGCTCTTTAACTCATGACCGCATTTCATATTACTAGATTCTTCTATATGTCTACTGCTTTTAAGCTCGTCATCTCATTTTGAATTTTGTAATGTGTCTTCTCACTTTTCTTGTCTCATCATCATCAACAATAAAATTATAAACTTATCCTCCAAGTCTTTTTTTCACTTTATTCATGTTAGGTTTAATCTACCATTTTTCCTTCCCAAATATTTCACATTAATATTATCTACTCGCATATCTGATGCATCATTTGCCTTAAATATACATGGCCCAACTCACCTGTGTTTCATTGCCTTAATTACAATTGGTGCTCCACCTTAAATTCAACATAATTATTTCTTCGTAAGATGTTTCTTAGTTTTATTATATACATCTTGTAACATCAAATTTTTTCAGAATTAACTTGCATGCAAATGACTTTTTTATAGGCCAACATAGATGCATATAGTCAATCTTGTTGTAGTTTTTATGATTTTCTAACTTATGCAATACTTATGAGATGCTTCTTTATTTTAACCAATCACTTTTATTTTAGAAGTTGAGACTTCATTTATTTTCCTATTCTTTTGTATGATGAATCCAACTTAAACATGATCTAAGTATCACTTCATTTTCAATACTATTTATTGATAGTTATCAATTCCAATTCATGAAAATGTACATATAATATACACAATCTTTGAGACAAAATTGTCAGATTTTGCTACAACGATAGATTCCTAATTTGTTGGAATTTGATCCTTAAACTAGTAGCAAGGAGGTATTGTCGTTTAGATGAAACAAAGCAAATTTGATCTATTGATTGATGAGTTAGATAATTTTTACTCCCTTAGAGTCTAAAGGTTTTCATTTGAGTATATCTAAACCATATACAAGGAGTGTAATTTTAATAGTAATAGATCTAATAGGGGGATTGTGACTTTAGACAATCAAGTCATTAAAAAGAGTACACGTTTTAGATATCTCGAGTCTATTGTTCAAAGCGATGATAAAATAGATGGGGATTAGTCATGAGATATTTACTTTATGGCTTATGCGCATTGATTACCCTTTTTTTAAATATCTTCAATGTTTCAGCAGCTTCGACACTGTTTATTCCATATATGGTGTGGTAATTGAATGTAATCAATGAATTTCTTAGTTAATTATGTAAAAGGACTTGCTTCCTCTTGGGGGGTCTTGTTTGCTGCTTGTGAAAAAGGTGTCTTCTCAGTGGGTTGGCATTATTTCTATGTAACGATATTAGGATATCACAAATGACAAGAAAATTCTAGTGATTATAAATGATTTTTTAAAATTATTTTTTTCTGTTATTTGAGGCTGAATGTTTATAATAGAAGCTGCTGGTATGCATTCCTTGTTTGCAGGGTGGTGAGCTTTGTTCCTTGCGATATGACCTTACTGTTCCATTTGCACGTTATAAGCTACATCCTAAAGACCCAATTTATAACCGGGAAAATTGTAATTCTGGACAAACAGAATACATAAAAGTCTCACCCCTGTTGTGTCAATATGCTTACTTTTTCTACTTCTGTACTCATCAACATTTTAGATTTTTATATTTAGTGTTCTTGAATTATTCATTTATCTTTTAAAATTTTTATTTTTTGGGCCTTTAAGGATTTTGGTGTACTGTTATTTTTTCAGGTCTTCGGTATACTGTTATTTTTATGCATAGGACAATCCTTATGCAAACATTTTTTGTTCTCTTTCCTAGTTTTCATGATGCCATAGTTTGGCAGCAAGCTTTCTTTAAAGCTGATTTTCTAGTGATCTTTCACGTGTAATACTGAATGATATTTGTTTTTATCAACTAAAACAAAATCCTTGTATCGACTCTTTAGTTCTCGGGTTTCCTATTTCTTGTGTTAATTCTGGTATTTGTTAGCTATTTATTTTCCTTGAGAGGGGCGGGAATCCAAAGAAATGGAGAAATAAATAACATCTTGATACATTGATAATTTAATGAAATTACATTTGTTGTTTGCTGTGTCAACGGAATGTATTTTTGGTCTTTTGATGCAGGACATATATGAAAATAAGATTTAAATAAGGAGTTTGCACGCTTAACGATTTAGAATAACTTAATTAGAACTTGAGGTTGATTCAAACAATGACGTAAAACACAAAGAGCGGTAAACACTAGTTTAGGCCAAGCTACTTGCGTAAAGTAAAAGCCACAAAAGAATCAATTATTCGTAACGTTGCATACGTGATAGGTTTCAACGAGAAATCCCTACTTTAACAATAAGAGTAGTACTATGAAAGATCATTCACAAAATTCTTAATAAATACTAGGCTTTAGCGGTAAGAGTTAACACAACTTTCCATGATTCAATTAGAGCTACAATTGAGAGTGATTAAAAGATAAAAGAGTAGGAGAAAAGATCACCCAAATAAACAAGAACCATCACTCCGGTGTGGTGTTTATGTGTTTGAGAGGTAGTAGACAGTAGTTCCCAACTCCTAGCCGCCTTAGGACTTTAATTTGATGATCTCAGGATGGTTGACAGCAAGCTAATCTCGGCTGGCATGTTTGGGCAGCAACCTGAACCTTCCGGGCAGCACACAGCACACGGTGGTTTTTGAGTAGCAAGACAGCTTCCTTATGCTGTCCAGAAACTCTAGACAGCAATGCTACAGCAGTTTACAGCTTCCTTATGCTGTCCAGAAACTCTAGACAGCAATGCTACAGCAGTTTTGGCTCTTGGGAAAAACTGGACAACAACTTCTAATGCTTGGGACGTTCTGGACAGCAGCTACCATGGATTCCAACCTTAGGATTGTGGGTGGGATCAATCCAGAAATCTGGCCAGCATGCAGGAGGCGGAATTTCCAGGGATTTCTCCCTAATGAGCGCCTGAGATATTGGAGGATGGAGTGGAGAATCTTGTGGACAGCTGTGGGGAGCCTCAGGAGTTGATTTCCAATGCTTAGGTGGCAAATTGAATCAAAATCAAATTAAGGGGAGAGAGGAGAACTAAGGGGGCAGCGGGTAAGAGAGAGGTTGGGACTTAATTCCAAAAGTGGAGGTGTGATTTTGGAAGGAATTAAAGAGGTGGAGCTTTGGGGGATTTCGGCCTAGGAGAGAGGGAGAGAGGAAGAGGTCTAGATGCAATGTATTTGGAGATTTGAGTTAATTAAATAATCAATCTCAGATTTTGATTGATTACCAATTAATGGGCATTCCGAACTTAGGCATCTTTCATTAGGAAAGTGTGGGAATTTGAATTAATTAAATAATCAATCTCAAAGATTGATTGATTATTTAATTAAGAGACTTTCCAAACTTAGACTACTTTAATTTGGAAAGCTTTGACTTTTAAAACTCTTTTGAAATTCGAATTCAAATAACTTCCAAATCTAAATGAATCTATTTTTGGAAAGGCATGGGGTGTGGCCGGCGGCTTGGGCGGGGGAGGTGGAGCCGGCGGCTTGGGGTGGTGGTGGTGGAGGCCGGTGGTGGGGTGGAGGGTAGGGGACGATGGGAAAAAAAAAGGGGCGGCCGTTTAGGTGTGGGGTGGAGCTTGACCGTGGGAGGAGGGGAGGAAGGTGGAGCCGACGGTGGTGGAGGAAGAAAAGAGGAGGAGATAGAAAATAAAACCACGAACCCGACTCTTCAAGGTTGGTGGGTGATCTGTTGCCCTTCACCAAGGGATTTCACCAAAGTTCTCTCATAGAACTCTCAAGTTCTCCATACACATGGATGCAGAAATTTTTTTATAATTCATTCATTAATTCTCAAAGAAGAAGATGGGGGCTTTAAATAGCCCATACAATGAGAAAATAAAAAGTACTACAATGCCCCTAGGGCTTACACATACTTAAGCCCTTAAGTAAGGGCAAAAAAAGGAAAAGCATAATAAACTTCATAAAATAAAAAATAATAATAAATCAATCATAAATATAAAAATCATAAGTAGCGTGATGTAATCGTGGCCGTTGATCGACGATCACACTTCTAGTAGATTTTTCCATTTCTTGATGTCCTCATCAAGTATAGAGAGAATAAGGAAGATCTACATATGATTTTTATTGATTTAGAGAAATCATAGGATAAACTTTCAATAAAAGTTCTATGGAGAGTTCTACATAAGAAAGGGATTAATAATGTTTATATTCAAGTCATTAAGGATATGTATGCAAGAGTTATTTGTGTTCAAGCACGAGGTGGTTTGACCAAGTATTTTCCTATTTAAGTTGGATTACATTAAGGATCAACCTTAAGCCTATATCTTTTTGCTTTAGTCATTGGATATTCTCACTTGACATTTGCAAGAGGTTGTACCCTGATTTATGCTTTTTACTGATTATATTCTTCTTGTTGATAAAACTAGAGAGGGAGTTAAAGGTAAACTTGAATTATGGAGGTCAACCTTAGTGTCTAAAGACTTTCGTTTTAGTAAATCTAAAACTGAATATATGGAGTGTAATTGTAGTAATAATAGATATAGTGGGGTGATTGTGACTTTGGGCGATCAAGTCATTAATAAGAGCACACGTTTTAGATACCTTAGGTCTATTATTCGGAGTGCTGGTGAAATAGATGGGGATATTATTAGTAGGATTCAAGTTGGTTGGCTGAAGTGGAGGAATGCATCGGGCTTATTATGTGATAGAAAAGTCTCTCTCTAACTTACGAGAAAATTCTATAAGATGGTAGCGGACCTACAATGCTTTATGGTGCAGAATGTTGGCCATGAAAAGAGAAGCATTAAGTGTTGCAGAGATGAGGATGCTTAGATGGATGAGTGACTTTACTCTTAAAGATAGGATATGAAATGGAATATATGTGAAAAGGTTGGAGTAGTTCAAGTGGAAGATAAGATTAGAGAGAGTCGCCCTAGATGGTTTGGTCACATAAAACGACAGCTTTTCGATGACCTGATTAGGAAAGTAGATGTATTAGATTTGACTTATATTAAGAAAGCTAGAGGTAAACCTAAAAAGACTTGGTTAGAAAATATTAGAAATGACATTTCTTTATTAAATTTAGATTAGAATTTCACCCTTATTAGGACACAATGGAGAAAAAATATTCATATAGCCGACCTCACATAGTGGGATGAAGGTTTGTTATTGTTGTTATTGTTGTACGGATATTATATAAAAATATGTCCAAGGGGATCTTTTTGTATAAGTTTTTGCACTACAATTTGTTTTACATTCATTTTTCTTTTGCAGGCTTATGATCTTTCTCAGTTAGTTAGTTCAGTCAATCTAAAGAGTTATGCCTCTCTTACGAAGATCCAAAGGATTGAATGGAACAACAGGTTTGAAGGGCTAAGTATATGAGACTCTTCTTGAAGCCTTTGGTTTGAATTCTTATTTTTTGTTTAATTTTTTTCTTGCAGGGGTATGTCCAGCGCCCACGCTATTTTTATCACAATAATGTCATTATACCTGGTCTTCTTCTCAGATTTCTTCTCTGATCAAATCGAGGGGCCTGTTACATTGCGAAGCTCAAATATTTCTACTTTCTCACTCGGTGTAATTCTCTATACTTCTTGAGTAGCATGCTATGTTGGAGCTTAAATTTGTTTGGATCACTTACATCAGGCCGTGTTCTGTACCTATCACAGGTTTCAGCTGGGTATTTTCTCACAGATCTTGCAATGATGTTTTGGTCATACCCTTGCCTTGGTGGACTGGAATATGTAAGTAGCAATCATTCTTGTATCTCGTAACAGGATTCATCTTGTTGTTTTAGGCTTCGTTTGGGACAGTTTTTTATCGCTTTCTAAAAAAACTTTCTAGTACAAAATTTTCTTGAATTAAAAAATTTTATACTAGAAAGCTGTTTTAGGAAGCAGTACGAATGCTGTTCCAAACAAAACCTTAAACTTCACAAGAAATGGGCGGTGAGATAATTTGTTCCATAGTCCTTATTGATCAAGAAGCAGAACTCTTGGTTTAACCATCTAATTACTGTGGCAAACGCTATTATTATTAAATTTTTGATTCTAAAGTTGTTATCCTTTCAATGACAATGTCTTTCTGCAGGTCTTACATCATTCACTTTCTCTATGTGCAATTGCTTATGCAATGTTAACTGGTGAAGGACAGCTGTATACATATATGGTTCTCATCTCTGAGACAACTACGCCAGGGATTAATATGCGATGGTATCCTTGTAGGATTAAAATTTCTCTGCATATTTAAATCCTGTTTTTATCTGCTAAAATTACCTGACAGTTGCATTTTTCTTAAAGGTTTCTCGATACCACAGGCATGAAACGATCAGGTGCATATCTTATTAATGGCGTTTTGATGTTCTTTGCATGGCTGGTAAGTAGAGTTTCTCTTAGCAAAGGCTATAGATTTTCTTAGAGTATATTCATGGACATTTTTTTTGTAGTCTCCTAAATCATTCTTAAAAAATAAATATAAAGTAAATTTCTTATGAAATGAAATTTGTTTCACTTATATGATCAATATGGTACTTCTGAAACGTATTGCTTCATAAAGAAGTAAGAAAGATGTCCCAAACGAAGCCCAAATTGAAATGGATTCCCTACAGCTGATGTTTTAATTTAGTTTAATGGTATGTTCCATAGGTTGCTATCGATGCCTTGATAGGAAATACTTGTATGCACAAGTAAACCTAACCCAAATCAAGTATCTAAACAAAGACAACTGCTGTCCACAGCCGAAAACAGCCCAAAACAGTGAGAAATCTGAGAGAAAATTGAGATCTATCCGTAGGAAATCAAAGCAAATACTTATATTCCACTAATAGATAAAAAGCACTTGCAACATACAATTTTCCTTTAATTCGAGAGGAAGGAAAAACTCTCCACTATCTCCGGCCAAGAGCCTAGAACAAATCCTAGATCTCAATTAATAGTCAAATTTAAGATGAGAGGCAAACTCTCACCATAACTCCTAATTAAAGACAAAGGAAAATTATAAAATACCTAAAACAGTCCATTCAAAAATTTCCCTCTCAAATCGATTTAACCCCAAGTGGGGCCAATAGGGGCTTCTGCCCCTCTTGTTTTTTCCGCCCAGCCAGGCCTCCGCCTGGAATAAACTTGGACCGGTCCTGCTTGGACCGGTCCAGCCAGCCCCTCCTGGGCCAGCTTAATAGTACTCCCATCCCAAAAACTCACCTTGTCCTCAAGGTGAAAGTCGGGGAACTGTTGCTTCACAATTTCATATGAATCCCAGGTGGCTTCATATTCGAGAAGATCCTTCCATTTAATCAACATCTCATTGTTTCCCTTTTTATCAACCCTCACCCCTTCCAGCTCCATGGGTTCCATGACCACCTCCAAATCCTCTGTCAAAGATGCTGGTAGTTCAACACTAGCTACTTGTTCCCCTAGCGCTCTCCTCAGCTGTGATACATGGAACACTGGGTGTATAGTAGCAGAGGAGGGTAATTTTAGACGATACGTCACTGCTTCAATCTTCCCCAAGACTTCATAGGGACCAAAATACCTCGGTGCCAGCTTTTCATTTCTTGTGTTAGCTACTGATTTTTGCCTGTAGGGTCTTAGCTTCAAGAACACCTTCTCTCCCACTTCATATTGTATGTCTCTCCTGTGTGTATCGGCTCGCTTCTTCATAATTTGTTGTGCTCTTCCTAGATGTTTCTTTAACTCCAATACCTGGTCTCTTTCCTCTAGATACTACTCAACTGAAAAGATCGGCGTGTTTCCCCTCCCATAATGCACTAAATGTGGGGGGTCTCTTCCATAGAGTACCTTGAAAGGGGTCATTTGGGATGCAAAATAATACGAACTATTATACCAATACTCTGCCCATGGTAACCATTTCGCCCACTTACGTGGTGTTTCCGAAGCAAAACACCTCAAATAGGTCTCCAAACTCCGATTTACCACCTCTGTCTGTCCGTCTGTCTATGGATGGTAGGCGGTACTCCTCTTGAGAACAGTGCCCTGCATTCTGAAGAGTTCCTTCCAAAGCTGACTAAGGAACACTTTGTCTCTATCTGACACAATTGAACCAAGGAATCCGTGTAATCTCACCACCTCTCTAATAAATGCTGCTGCCACTGAGATCGTGGTGTACGGGTGTCACAGAAGGATGAAATGTGCATACTTACTGAGGCGGTCCACCACTACCAAAATGACTGTGAATCCCTCTAAGCGAGGTAGGCAGTCAATGAAATCCATGGACACTTCCTCCCAAACTCTGTTTGGAAGTTCCAAGGGTTGGAGTAGCCCTCCGGGTGCCATCGCCATGTATTTATTTCTTTGGCACACCTCACACCTTGCCACCAGCTCATCCACGTCTTTATACATGCCCTTCCAATAGAGCTCCGCTGCTAGCCTCCTATACGTCTTCTGAACTCCTAAATGGCCTCCAACTGCACTGCCATGGAACTCCTGCAACAAGTGGGGGATATGTATGGAAGTTCGTGGCATCACAAACCTCCCTTGATATAATAGTCTCTCTCCCTCAATACAGTAACCCGGATGGCTACTCTTGTCTTTCTTCAGGTCTTCCCTGATCTTTCCCAACTCTTTATCCCACTAGTTTTCTTCCTTTATGGCCCCCCAGTTAACCATTAGGGGTACTGAAACTGTCAACTCCTGAAACTCCCCCACACACCATGATAAGGCGTCAGCCGCCTTGTTTTCCACCCCTGGTCGATACTGAATCTCAAAATCGTTGCCGAACAGTTTTGACAGCCATCTCTAGTGTTCCTCAGTCACCATCCTTTGCTCCAGCAAGTATTTCAGGCTCCGCTGATCCGTACGAACAATGAAATGTCTATCCAACAGGTAAGGGCGCCACTTCTGAATGGCTAAGACGATGGCCATCAGTTCTCTCTCGTAAACTGACTTCAATCGTGCCCTGGTCGATAGCACCTGGCTGAAATAAGCTATAGGCCTATGATTCTGCATCAATACTACTCCCAATCCGTATCCTGAAGCATTAGCCTCCACCACGAATACCTGGCTGAAATCTGGGAGAGCTAGCACTGGGACGGTCGTCATGGCTATCTTCAATCGTTCAAAAGCTTGGGTCGCCGTCTCTCCCCACAGAAAATTATCCTTCTTCAGCTGTTCCGTCAACGGCCAAGCGATGGAACTGTACCCCTTTACAAACCTCTGGTAGTATCCTCTCAGTCCCAAGAAACCCCTCAACCCCCTGATGTTCTTGGGCATGTGCCATTTCTGCATTGCTTCAACCTTTGACTGGTCGGCTGCCACTCCCTCTTGAGACACTACATGTCCCAAATATTCCACCCTAGACTAGGCAAAGCTGCACTTCTTTAAGTTAGCTTTCAGCTGATGTGTCTGTAGAATCCTCAAAACCTCCTTCAGATGCTTCAAATGTTCCTCCTCGGTTTGGCTGTACACCAAAATATCATCAAAGAAGACTAGCAAAAACTTCCTCAGGTGCTGCTTGAACACCCTGTTCATCAAGGACTGAAAGGTAGCAGTGGCGTTAGTGAGCCTAAATGGCATCACCAAGAACTCATAGTGCCCAATGTGTGTTCTCAACGTCGTCTTCTGAATGTCCCCTTCCTTCATTCTGATTTGGTGGTAGCCTGACTTCAGATTCATCTTATAAAACACAAACTGCTCCATGCAGGTCATCTAATAACTCATCGATCACTGGAATGGGGAATTTTTCTGGTACCGTCTCCTTATTCAGGGCCATGTAATCCACACAAAACCTCCAGCTCTCATCCTTCTTTTTGACGAATAAGACTGGACAACAGAAAGGACTCGCACTAGGCCTGACGATCCCTGCTTCCAACATCTCCTTAATCAGCTTCTCAATTTCATCTTTCTGAATCTGGGGGTAGCGGTATGGTCGAACACTGATCGGTGACACTCCCTCTTTCAGAAGGATGGCGTGCTCCTGCTCTCTAGGTGGCGGCAATCCCTGGGGTGGCTGGAACACCTCCCTATATTGCTGTATGAGCGGTTGCACCACCTGTGGAATGTCTCCTTCTCCCCCAACACTGACCCTCTCCAAACATTGCAGCTCCACCAAAAATCCCCCTCCACCTCCTGTATGGATCTGATCATGGATTTGAGAGATACGACTGCCTTTGACAACCCTGCATCCCCTTGGATCACCTTCCTCTGTCCTTCTATCATCAGTTCCATCCTCAGAGCACCCCAGTTGCTCTTGGTCTCCCCTAAAGTCTGTAGCCATTTCATCCCCAGGATGACATATGTACTTCCCAATTCTAAGGGGAGAAAATCCTCCCTCAACTGTAGCCCTTGGATGGTCAAAACCACTCCCCTGCAAACTCCTCTCCCCATCTCCACCTTCCCCGTGCCCATCATCACCCCATAGCCCCCTGTATCGATTAGCTCCATCCCCAACTGGTCAACGATCTGGGCAGAAATGAAATTGTGGGTTGGCCCACTATCGATCAACACCAACACTTCCCGGTCAGCTATCTCTCCTCTTACTTTCATAGTGTGACTCGGAGTGAATCCCACTACCGAGTTCAGAGAGACTTCTGCCACATTCATATGCAACTTTTCCTCCCCTTCTGACCCGCTCCCACCTTCCTCCTCTTCTTCCTCGTCTTCGCAAACTATGAGAACCTGAAGAGTTCAGTCCTTGCACCTGTGTCCGGGCATGTACTTCTCATCACATCGGAAGCACAACCCTTTTGACATCTTCTCATGCATCTCCTTCTCGGTCAGCCGTTTGAATTGTCCCCCATTTCCCCCTCCTCCAGTCCTATCCTTTGGTGCTTCCTTCATACTCACTGAGGCTGCCCCCTTTGAAGGCAAGAGGGTAGTAGTCATCCTGTACGACCCCACTGAATAGTTTCCTTGAGCTCCCCTTTCAGATTTCTTCTGATCTTCCACCAACTGTGCTAGCTTCATAGCCTTCCCTTGGTTCCTCGGCTCCAATGCTCTGACAGCTGTTCGTATCTCTGGTTTAAGCCCCTTCATGAAGTTCTCCTCCAGGGCCGACTCTGAGATGTGATCCAATCGGCTAGCCAAGTACTCGAATCTGTCTTGGTAATCCGCCATCGTCCCTTCCTGAGTCAGGGCAAAGAACTGCTCATAGAAGTCTCCTCCCCCATCGGCTCGGAAATGCTTTAATAAGAAATCCTTGAACTCCCTCCAGCTCCGGATGGGCTCCCTCCTGTCACGCCACTGATACCATGCCAAAGCTTTTCCTTCCAGACACAATCCTGCAGCTGTCAGCTTCTCATCCTCTGTCAACCTGTTGACAGCAAAGTAATGCTCCACCTTGTAGATCCAACCATGGTCGTCTTCACCCTAAAAAACGGGCATCTTCAATTTCCTCACCTTAGGATCTCCCCCGTTACCCCGGTATCCTCCATAACCTCCCATTCCTCTCAAAGGAAGCGCTCCCTAATTGTCCCGATCGTCCCTCCGACGATTGTATCTCAAACCACCATCGTATTCCCCTCTTCTCCCATCAATATCAGCACCTCGACGTTGAAATTTCTCTCTTCTTCCTTCAAATTCAGCACCTCGGTGCTGAAATTCCTCTCTTCTCCCGCCAAAATCAGCACTTCTTCTGTCATATCTCATACTCATCTCTTCCCTAGAAAGAGGCTCTAGAGGAGGCATGTCGTTCTCTCTCTCAGGGATCTCCATCTCCGAATTTCTCCTCCCCGCAAAGGATTTGGATTTCCTCCCATGCCATGGCCGTCGGTGGTCTCTCTTACTTCCGATATCGCTGGATTGATCTTCATTTCAAGTAATTTCTTCATCATTTCTTCCATCACGGTGAACTTCCCCTCCAACCTTTCATTGTTGGAGGTTATTTGATTTTGAAAGTCGACGAATCTTCCCTCCAAATCGGATTTCAATTGTCCGACCTCGCCTTCCAAGACTTCTACCTTCTTTTCGGCCATCGTTCTTCCGGAAGCCGAAAGCTTAAATAGGGATTTCAGGCGCCTAAGGTCCCCAATCGATGCTCTGATACCGATTTGATAGGAAATACTTGTATGCACAAGTAAACCTAACCCAAATCAAGCATCTAAACAAAGACAACTGCTGTCAACAGCAGAAAACAGCCCAAAACAGTGAGAAATCTGAGAGAAAATTGAGAGATATCCGTAGGAAATCAAAGCAAACACTTATTTTCCACTAATAGATGAAAAGCACTTGCAAGATACAATTTTCCTTCAATTCGAGAGGAAGGAAAAACTCTCCACTATCTCCCATTTTATAATAAATATTTCATTATTTTTTAATCTATTTGTATATCGAAATCACTTTATTTTCCTATAGTTTAAATATAATAGAAATATCACATATTATCTTTTTAATCCCATCTTAACTAAAATTAGATCAGGATATTCTAATTATTTTTTTCTTCTTTATTCATCGATTTAAACTTGTATTCTTCGAAAATACTATAAATATAAGTAGTGGAACTGTAATTTCATCAGTGCTATATTTGATCTGGAAGAGTTGCTAATATACACAAATTAAAGTAGTCTCTATGTTTTAAATACATGATCCGTTTCTTCATTAATTTGCCCAGCTCCGGTTTAGCCTTTGCATGGAGTTTTCCATAGCAAAATAATAAATTAGGGATTTTACATATTTAACACTTAAAATTCTATATTTACTAATATACCACCTAAAATTTTCTTTTTCTTCTATTCTAACACTCCATTGAAGTGATGAGATACTTGTATTCACTGTGAAAGGTTGCCATTGACGGGGAAGACAGTTGTTGATAGTTATTTTTGATGGAGGGTTTAAACGGAATGTTAGAATTGATTAAAAAAGGGATTTTATGTGGTATATTAGTAAATATAGAAGTTTAATTGTTAAATATGTATTTTCAATACTTCCAGCAACTCTTTTCTGATAAGTTTTCTCGTAACTAGACGCGATTATAAAAATGCAGGTAGCTCGGATATTATTGTTCATCTACTTGTTCTATCACATCTACCTGCATTTTAATCAGGTAGAAGCTCTCTATCTTCTTCAGCAATGATCTATGACTATTATAATACACTTGATTTTACACCTCAGGTTCTGCAAATGCATGCATTTGGATACTGCTTAGCACTTGGGGTTCCATCAACGCTATTTATCATGAACATGATGTGGTTCTTAAAGATTTTGAAGGGGCTCAAGAAAATATTAGCTAAGAGGCAATGAAAGTTAAGAAACTGCTGGAACAGACTACAGAGTGGGCAGAAGAACAAAAATAGAGGCAGCTTGTTGGTAAGAGTAATTTGTAGTTAGAGCTAGTGTTGTAGTTCATCTTGATTGTGTATAATGGAGTTTGGAAATGATTACATTAGATGTCAATATGATTTTCTTGCCTTTGCAATGTGGTCTGTTCATTTGAGTGCCATGCTTGTTGATAATTAATGGTTAATTTCTTCTTTTATGTTGAAGGATTATGCTGTTTTTGAAGTGACAATATGGCAATCATCGCCGTCTATTCCTACCGCTTAGGGGTCGTTTGGGACGGTTTTTTTATTGCTTCTTAAAGCAGTTTTTTAGTGCAAAATTTAAAATTTTGTATTAAAAAGCTGTTTTAAGAAGCAGTAAAAAAACCGTCATAAACAAAACCTTAGTGAATGCCATGTAGCCATTTCCCTAATCTTTGCTTTGACTTCCTTTAACAGGCTCTATTGCTCTTAAAGGATGATCACCTAGTAATATATGTCAACCAACCAATGGACACTCATAGCCTGCCACTTGGACCACCATGGCTTCGTTTGGGATGTTTTCTTATTGTTTTTAAAAGCAATTTTTTAATATACAAATTTTAATATTTATATTAAAAAGTTGCTTTAAGAATCAGTAAGAAAGTCGTCTCACATGAAGCCTATGTCTCCTGTCACTAGAGTTGATCGCTTGCTGTCACAAATTTTAATGATTAAGGCTTCATTTGGTATGGCTTTCTTCATGTTTTTTAACAATTTTTTAATACAAAAATTAAAAATTTTATACCGAAATGTTACTTTAAGAAGCAAGTAAAAAATTCAATCTCAAATGAAGCCTAAATCTCTTATGAATCATTTATGATGTAGATAAACTATAACATTATCAAACTTATGAAAATGCCTATTATAACATTTTAGATATGAAAATTTAATATTATTTAATGATATCTCAATTTATGATAAGCAAAGAAATTTGCTAAATAATGCAAACCTAAATTTGCTAAATTTGCTAAATAATGCATATAAATATTATTAAATAAACTTTCTATTGAACATATTAAGTATATCTAAGTAATGCCAATTAAATCATAATTAATACATTAAAGTATATTAATTAGATTAATTAACTTTAATATAATATAAATATTGAAAATTAGGGCATAAACAAACAATTTTCATTTTAAAATAAAATTTAATAAAATTTTTGACCTCCCATGATTATTTAGTAATGATAATAATGTTTTTTTTAAATTTTTAGGTCAGGATATTCCGACAAACTTGTAGTTAATAAGGAGTTCAGATTTATTGGATTTGTTTTGACATAGTGAAATATAGATTATATATATTTTAAAATAAAATTAATAATTTTAGAGTATTTTAATAAAAAAATATTTATCAGAATATTTTAAGACTTTTTTTTTCTGATGTTTTCTATAAGTCAAAGCTCTTATAGTGGATGCAGCATTAATTTGCAAAGATGTTGAAACTTGCTCTATACGTCATTCATTTCTGGTGCAGCTCCACACACCTTCACGTTGATAGTTTGTTGGAGAAAAAGATTGGTCAAAAGTGGGAGAACGAACATATAACGTGGTTCGGAGATCAATCAGAATGCGACATTTTAGTTGTACCGAATAGTACCGAGCCGCGGTACTATGAAAAGTTAGGGGCCATAATTTGAGATTATATTTATTTTAAATAATTTTTTTCTTGATGAAATAAAATATCTTTGATATCTTCAAAATATATTATTTTTGTTTATTTACGCAACGTTGATTTTTGTTTATTTACGCAACGATGATGACAGTTGTTTACACTGGCATTTGATGTTAGCGATAAGAGTGACAGTGGCGGTCGGTCTTGGCGGTGGTGGGCAATGATGGTTATTTCTAAAGACATAAAAATATATATAAAAAAAATATTTTACAGTAACAAATAATAATAATTTGATTTTTTAAAAAAATTAAATATTTCAATGAATAAACTTGTTTTTTTTTAATAAAAAATAATGATGATCTCATGTAAGTCCTTATAAATATCATCGATCCAATTAATTATAAATTATCATGATTAAACTTCCAAAGTCTTTCTGAAAAATTTAGTTAAATCATACACTCAACAGATTAATTAGACATTAAACAAACTATTATTCACCAAAACTTCAATATAGAATGACGTATAATTAATTACTAATCATTGATCAAAGGGTTAATTAGTCATCATGCATCATAAAATTAATGATATAGAAAAGTCATCTTCATGCAAGTCTAGAATGATTATTATTATATATATCAGACTTTTTTTAGCAAAATATAAATTAAATCAACTAATAGGACTATTTATTATTAATCTTTTTGTTTAATGAACTACCTATAACAAAGTAGTAGTTGCATTATAGATGCCACGTGAATGAGAATGGGGGCAAAAGAGTCGAGCTAAGTTCGAGCCAATTTTATTTGAGTTTGATCTCAATTGATTAATCAAATTCAAACTCAAACTCAAACTTAATTATACGAATTTAAGTAGGTTCACGAGTTGATTCATTTATTAGAAAAAAAATATTATTCTTATTTGGGGGTGTCAACTTATGACCTGACTTGAAAACTTGACCCGAATTTGACCTGGAAAATATAGTTTCAAGTCGACTAGTTTAACAAATGGGTTAGGTTTGAGTTCTAATTCCCGACCAATTTGAAATATCAAGTCAGTTCCTGGTCAACCCGCCAACCAAAAAATGACACGAAATGACCCACGTGACCACATTGTGTCCACGCCCTAACTCCAACTACATGATCACACCATCCTGCTCTTGCACAATTGACATCGACTTGCGCTCAGTGCTCGCCTGGGTCCACGTGTCGGGTCGGGTTGACCTGGAATTGGGTCGGGCAGGTATGAGTTTGAATTTCTAACTCATTTATGTAATCGGGTTGGAGCAGGACAAAAAAAAAAGTAAGTAGAAATTTGTGTAGAACAAGGGCTATTTTGTTGCCTTCCTACATACAAATTGTTTTCCCTAGACAACTCTTTTTCATGCCTTTTGCTTGTTCGGCTCACCACAATCCTCTCGAAAGGCTTGAGTTCTGCTGCGAGCCTGTGAAGAAGAAGAGTTGTCCCCCTACTCCTGTGCCGCTCGACCACTCCGATGAGGTAGCGACTCCGCTTTTGTTCACATGCTTCACTCAAGCCTACCTATTTCTCCGCTTAGGCACATTGTTCGGTCTGCTTGCTTCGTTTGATTCAAACAAATTTGTTTTGACTTTTGATTGTGTGTTTGTTCTCTTCTTATTGTTATTTATTTTCTTTTGAAAAAAAGTTTGGTTCCACTACATATTTCTTAATTCACGAAATTGATCTATTATTATGTATCAACTTTTCTCACAATCAATAGAATTATCAATTTTTTGATTAGTCTATCAAGCACCTTTTCATTCAACATTTGTTTAAATGAAGGAGAAGAATGATTTTTATTTTGGTATGTCAACTTTTCTCACAATCAATAGAATTATCAATCTTTGATTAGTCTATCAAGTACATTTTCATTCCACATTTGTTTAAAAGAAGGAGAAGAATGAAGTTTATTTTAGTATGTCAACTTTTCTCATAATCAATAGAACCATCAATCTTTGATTAGTCTATCAAGCACATTTTCATTCCACATTTGTTTAAATGAAGGAGAAGAATGGAGTTTATTTTTGTTAGTCCCCCTCAGAATTAGGTGCGATTCCGCCCTTGACTCTCTGTCTTCAAGTCAAGACTACAACACAGTTGTGTTGAGTGCACAAATATAAAATACTGATAATAGCATCACGATACTCTAATATATTATAACAAACAATATATTTACATAAAATATCAATCACTATAGAAATCTAACATCAAGGCTAGTTTTCTTAGATGTTCAAATATCATTATTTTGTCTTACACTTTCTAGCCTCTTATCCAAGACCTTAAGTATTATCAAACACTTGTGCAAACCCAAAATTATTTCCTTCAAATTAATGAACATCAGCATGTGCATGACAATAATGAAATTTACCATTGCAAGAGTAGGTAGGCATGCAGGAGCCTTCAGAAAAGTCTGATAGTGGTAGAAAAATATTCCTACATGGTTTCACATGTTTTTGAAAAATCAGATAATATATTTTTTTTCCAATAGCTATATTTAATTTCGACTACTACAACAACTAAAACTATAGCCCAATCTAGCAACTAGGGGAGGGTCCACATTGCCCCTAGGGTGCGCAATTGCCTACCCTCAAATTATAGAAATGAATAAGAGAAGGAGCAGTTCCCAACTTTGACCAAAAAAATAGACGAGTTCTGAATATATCAGAAATTAAACTAATTATTTAATTTGAAATTCACCAAAATTTTATATTGCAATATTCATTTTTCTTCAAATTAAATATTTAAATTTTTAAAATCAATACATTTAAAATCCTTTACACTTATTTTTCATTAAATGAAACAGCCCTTAAACTTGCCTCCCAAAGCATGAAGAGTCAACGCTCTTATGAAAATTATAAAAATATAATATTTAGATAAAATTCGGAAGCTTCTAGAAATGCCTGATCAGTTCATCAATCTCCCCATTTTTCCATCCACGTGAAGATATCCTCACTCTCGGAACACTTTAAACTCCCTCACGTCCAATCATCGCTACCGTCACCAAACGATCCAACGGCCACGATCCCCTACCCGAATCAGTCAAATACAAATTCTCAAGTCTTCATTGACTTCCACTGCGTCGTCTACTGTTGAATGCAAGGAGCCCATCTCATGTGATTGTCAGGTTTGCCTCCTCGCTTCTACCAGAAATTACTTCAATAAACATAACGTTCTATGAGATTCAAAGTGTTCAAAACCTTGACTTGGACTAAACCATCTCCTCTCATGCCTGACTTTCCCCTATAAGAAGGTAAGAAACTTCTCATTGGATGGAAAAGGAAAGGTGAGGAGTGAAGAAAAAAATGAGTGGATACATGAAAGAAATGATATGTGATGGAGTGGAGGAAGAAGGTGAAATTGAATTGGAAGAAGAAGAAGAGGTGGTGCTTCCCGGATTCCGATTTCACCCAACCGACGAGGAGCTAGTGAGCTTCTATCTTCGGCGAAAGGCCGAGAGAAGGCCAATCTCAATGGAGATTATAAAGGAGAGAGACATTTACAAGTACGACCCATGGGAGCTCACAAGTGAGTTCATTAGATATGGTGTATAATTTTATCAAACTTTAAGAGTGTTGTTATTTAAAAGAGTTGGACAAACGTTTTCTTTGACTATCAAAGATATACATGCCTCCATGGATAGGGGCACTGTTCCCTTGGACCACCGACATATCTACGAAATCTCTACACTTTTACTTATAAGTTTGCTCCCCTGAAAATTAAGACTTGTTCCGCCCTTGTATGACTACTTCAATACACTCACATTGGTGATATATAGTTAACGAAATGCTTATTTGATGAATATAAAGAATTTGTATATGTGTAGGGGCGGGCATTCTGGGAGAGAAGGAATGGTACTTCTTCTGCTTGAGGGAGAGAAAGTATAGAAACAGTATAAGACCAAATAGAGTCACAGGCTCTGGCTTCTGGAAGGCGACTGGTATTGACCGGCCAATATACTCTTCTGACAACTCCGGCCACCTGATTGGGCTGAAGAAGTCCTTGGTCTATTACCAAGGAAGCGCTGGAAAAGGAACTAAAACAGATTGGATGATGCACGAATATCGCCTCCCCTCGAACCCCAATTGCATCCAAGCTGCAGTAAGAACATTCCAATCTTTCTTTCTTTCTTTTTTCATTCAAATTCTCTTAACTTGATCAGTACTGATATTGATTGAGGGGATTTGCGCGCAGGAGATATGGACTATTTGCAGAATCATAAAGAGAAATGGATCATTGAAGAAATACAAACAGCAACTGAGCTGGAAGGAGGCAAATGAAAGCTTGGATTCGAGCTCGAAGAGTAATAGTTTTGAGTCTAATAGTGGAGAGGAAAAGAAGAACTTGGGTGGCTGTTACTTCCAGCTTGATGGGAGTTATGGTGGGAGTAGAATGGAAGAGAATAATCTGAATGAGATTTTCGAAGAAGGGAATTGGGGTGAGATTGATAGAATGGTTGATTACATGGTGGAGGCAGCGACTCAATACGACTTTGTATATTATTGAATAGAATTAGCTTAGGTTGTGTTACATTTCTTTCCTTGTATTTTTTTATATGTAATTTTAAGTAGAGTAAGAGTGTAAAATGAGAACATCAGCCCTTGTGCTGGAGTAATTATTGCGTCCGGACATCGAATGTGTCTAGAGACCAATAAAAAAGCTCTACATCACTGGGCGCTTGGTACCGCCCTCGGTACCGTGCTCGGTACCGACCGGGGTACCACTCGGTACCCTCGATACGCTGTCCGTACAGAATAATTTTTCCTTGTTGTGCTGGTCTATGATGTTGTATCATAGTTAAGTACATTAATGAAAGCTTGATGTTATATTATAGTCGTTAAAAGTGTTTAAATATGGGTAAAAAGTTATATGGGATCCTAATAAAAACACTTTGCTAAATAAGCACTTCGTTCTAATGTTATTTGAACTACTAATAATTGTTACACTAAGACTTTGGCTCCGTTTGGGACGAACGACTTTCTAGCTGCTTCTTGAAGCAGTTTTTTAATACAAAAAATTTAATTTTTTTACTGAAAAGTTGCTTTAAAAAGCATCAAGAGAGCTGTTCCAAACGAAACCTTTGTTTGGGACAGTTTTCGTACTCCTTGCTAAAACGGCTTTCTAGTATAAAATTTTTTAATTCAAGATATTTTTGTACTGAAAAGTTGTTTTAGAAAGCAACAACAATTTTCTTATTGTTTTTTAAAACAGTTTTTTCAGTACAAATATTTTTGGTACGAGAAATTTTTATAATAAAACACTACTTCATAAAGCAGTAAGAAAGCTATTTCAACCTAAATCAACTCTAGCACTCGATCGAGTATCTGGCGGCCTACTAATTTCGAACGCAACCCTAACCATTCGATGCTTCTCGAACCACCTCTCATAAATCTCCATCATTTATCTTACTCTTTCACCATTGCCTTTAAACTTTTATGCAACTATATTAACATCAAATGTTAAAAACTTAATTAGGATTTAATAAACCTTAATGTCATCATAGGTAATAAAATAGATATCATGAACAAGATGAAATAATTAATGATAAATAAGGACTAAACATAATCATTAAAGTTGCATTATCATTTAACTTAAATAAATTTGAAGCATGCCACAAGCTACTACTAATTGTTATGAAATAAGCATGCCACCTACCTAAAACATAAGAGGCATCTAAGAGTTACATTACTTCAAAATAACATAAATAGGTTGGAACTAAGAGTTGTTAATTTATTCATAAAATCAATAATAAACAGTACTTCAATATAATATTAATTGCAAAAACATGCCAAATCATTTATTGCCCATCAACCTGTTTGATGATTGGGTCGGGTTCGGATACCACTCAAAATTGAATCTGCCCGAATATAGTTAACCCAAATTAAACATGACCCGTTTAACAACTGAGTCAAAACACCAATCCGAACCCAACCCATAAACTCATTTTTGTTAAAAATTTTTATATAACTTATTAACTATAAAATTTATCATAATTGGTAAAAAAAGAGAAGATTATACCCACAAGTAAAATAATAATAATAAAAATAAGACATTAAACGAGTCAATTTCATATCAAAAATAGGTTTGCAGGTCAACCTGAACTCGAATTTTTTTGTTTAGATCATTTATTGATACCCCTATTAACAAAAATCAGATAAAAAATGTTTTCTCTCTCGCTTCCACTCCCGGGGGAGGGCTAGGGCTTTTGCCCTAGCCGCCGGTGTTCTTCGTCTTGTGCGCTGCATGTGCTGTTCAGGGAAGTTTTCTTGCTCTTCTTCGTGTGTGTTTTATTATTCTGTTTTATGGCGCCTCTTCGGGACCCTGGTTTTCTGGTGTGCCCTTCTTCTCTGTCGTTTAAGGAGGCTCTTGTGGGCTCGTCCCCCTCTCCGCCTGTTTTTCCTGATTTGAAGGTTTCCTCTCATCGTGGAATGCCGGCGCTGTGGATTTCGGAGGCGGAAATCCAAGCGTTGGCTGCTCCGTTCGAATTTGCTCTTGTTGGAAAATTTCCTAGTCGGAGACCTTCCCTTGAGGCTATTAGGTCTTTTTTCTTTAAGCTAAAATTGAAGGGTGAAGTGTCTGTCACGGTTCTGAACCAACGGAATGTGCTGATCAAGCTTTTCAACGATCTGGATTATTGCAGGATCTTTGCGCATAGGTCTTATTTTGTGAGTAATTGTTTCATGAAATTGATTAAATGGTCCCCTTCGTTGGATATTGACATTGAATCTCCGATCATACCCATTTGGATGTTTACAGAAACGGATCGGGTTCGGGTTGACCCGAATAGTACCGGGTCAGTTTCGGTTTCGACCCGAACCCAACCCGTGACCCAAAATTGACACCCCTAGCTATTACTAATTGTTATGAAATAAGCATGCCACCAACCTAAGACATAAGAGGCATCTAAGAGTTACATTACTTCAAAATAATATAACTAGGTTGGAACTAAGAGTTGTTTATTCATAAAAACAACAATTAACAGTACTTCAATATAATATTAATTGCATAAAAATGGCAAATCATTTATTGCCCATCAACCCGTTTGATGATTGGGCCGGGTTCAAATACCACTCAAAATTGAATTAGCCCGAATATAGTTAACCCAAATTAAACATGACCCATTTAATAACTGAGTCAAAACACCAATCCGAACCCAACCCATAAACCCATAGCTCAAAATCCTAATTTTTTTTTTTAAGTGTAAAATTAATCAGAGTCATCACAATGGATTGAATAGCTAAAGTTGGAAGTCAAGAAAAGAAGCCATAAACTTTTTCTGCCCATTAATGACAGCCACTATATATTCAAAGTCATTCTTTTAGAGAGATTTATTTGTTGAGATATGTGAGGTCATACCACTAAGATTAGTAAAAGGGAAACAAAGAACCACAGCCTTGAGGGATATTTAACTTAGATAATATTAAATAATAAAATTCAAAGTGATTACAAGGCCTATAAAATAAATTTAATCATTGTATTTGGTGTGTTAAAAAAATGCTCCTATTTAATTAAAAATATTAAAGCTGTGGATGATGATGCTTAACTAAGATTGTTCTAAGGTACGTTCAAATGCAGGAGTCTTAGGCTTCGTTTGGGACGGCTTTCTCACTGCTTCTTAAAGCAGCTTTTTAGTGAAAAGCTGCTTTAAGAAGCAATAAAAAAGTCGTACCAAACGAAGCCTTAGACTTCGTTTGAGACGGCTTTCTTACCACTTTCTAAAGTTGCTTTTTAATACACAAATTTTTTGTTAAAAAATTTTTGTATTAAAAATTGCTTTAAAAAATTAGTAAAAAAGTCAGCTAAATGAAATCTTAAATTTTTTACTAGATAGAGAAAAAAAAATGTAGGAATTTTGTGAACAGTTATTTGATAAGAATGGGCTTTAAAGATCTTTATTCAGTTTTATTAGTTGTCTCACTACTAATAAATCAGGCTTTCAGAGCACTTTTTAGGACCTACTGCATCAGTTTAAACACATGCTAATTTATTTGTAGCGGTTTAGGAACCGCTGCAAATCCGCTATATTTGCGTTCGTTAGAAAGACTTTAGCATCGATTTTATAAGTGCTAAGGCGAGATCAGAGGCTAGGGCATCAAACAGTAAAACGGGGGGAAATATATTTATCCTATAGCAGTGGCTTTTAAAACTTCCGCTATTAATTGGTTGCCAAAGTTATGAATATTTAGAATATTTTAGTAGCGGGTAATTAAACCATTGTCTATACCTCTCTATAGCATTGGTTTATAACGGCCGCTATGAACTGCCATGAAAATGTCATGTTTTTGATAGTGTCTATCAATCATATATAGCCTTGATTTAGAGCTGAAAATAAATTTAGTGGCAATTATTTTGTGTTAGGAAAATTTATCTCCTATTGAACTAAAGTAAGAAAATTATATGCGATATATATTATTTTTAATTGGGAGATAAATTTAAAAGAGCTAATAAATGCGTTGATAAATTTATTTTATTATATGAAAAGAAACTAAAGTTTTTTTTGGAACAACTTTCTTAATGTTTTCTAAACCAGTTTTTTAGTATAAAAATTTATAGTTTAAAAAATTTTATACTAAAAATATGATTTTTAAAGCATTAAGAAAACCATTCCAAATGAAGCCTTAAATCTATATCTCATAGAGATGGATCGAAATAGTATAAAGAAGATTGGGATCTCCTATTCAAACAATCACTCTATATAATTTATATGTTTGACGCTCAAAAAGAATATCTCCATTCATATATTGCATAAAAATGCTCTAGGTGGAGTGATAAGCGTTGTTCAACATCTGTAACAAGTTATTTACATTGAAAAAGACATCTTAATGAAATAAAATAAAATATCTTTAGTCAGATGATTGTTTAAGTACTTCAGCTTTTGAACAAATCAGCAAACTCAAGTTTCATTTGGAACAGCTTTCTTACTACTTTCTAGTTAAAAATTTTCAAGTTTAAAATATTTTTATATTAAAAAATTGTTTCATAAAACAATAAAAAAACTGTCCCAAACAAAACCTCAATCTAATCATAAATTAGTTTAATTTGGTTAATATCAACTTCGATGATGATGAATTTTGTGCCTTTAAAATTTTGTTTGGTCGTTATTTTTTTACTTCTTTCAAAAATACTAAAAATATACTTTAGAAAGCTGTAAGAAAGTTATCTCAAATGAAATATAAGTTTACTATCATTACTATAATAAGCTATGATAAGACTATGAATATTATTTATAAATAAACCATGATGTAATGTCATTGATTTATTCTTGATGAGGATAATTGGACATAATAGTCAAATGATGCCTCTTATTATGCTTTAATTAAAAAAAAAAAAAGATAAAATTCAAATATGATAACTAAATATATGAATAACATTGTAAAATTCTCATTAACTAATTCTTAATGTTTCTATCCCATTAAATCCAATTTTCAAGACTTAGGGCTGGTTTGGGATGACTGTAGCTTTTTATAAAATTGACTGTAAAATTTTTATGAGAAAAATAATATTTTTAAAAATGCTATAAAAGTAGCCTTTAGCACAAAAATTTCTTAAAAACATGGAGAAAACAGTAGTCAAACAGAAATATGATCACGATCTAAAAAGCAAAATATTTTTTAAAAAAAAAAAATTGTCTCAAACAAACCCTTAGTTGCATCTATTTATTCCATCTCATATGAAGAACTTATCTAATGCCTAAGAAAGTTGATTTTGCTAACAATTAGCAATTGAGTGCTGTGAGAATTTGTGATTTTCAAATAAATTGATAATTGAATTAACCAAATGCCCAATTGTATTGACCTAAGGTCAATTGAGTTCATCCATAAGTTAATTGGTCCATTTAGTAACTAATTAAGCT